TCAAGCCCGAGCCCGGCGCCGGGGCCGCCTCCGAGCGGTACCTGGCTTTCTGCGGCGGGAGGGGAGGCGGGAAGCGGTGAAGGAGCAGAGCCGGCGGGACGGGTCCGGAGCCTGAACTCTCTCAAACTTCCAGCTTCTCAGAGCAAAGCGGCGTCTTGCAGGAGGGCCCCGCACACCAGTTGAAAAACCAGTCTTGAGTCTGCCTCACGTAACACGTCTGCCACTTGTGCTGTAAACGTTATGGAGCACTTAGATAGCGTATGTGCGAGAGTCTTGCTCTCTGAACTTAATTTTTCTTCTTGAGCACGTACAAGTACGCGATAAGTAGTCCGTTATACGTGGTTATTGTCAAAAATAGCGTCATGTTTGTGGCAAGTTCTGCTGTCAAAGCCCTAGCACAATTGTATTTCATCACTTGAAGTGCTTTACCATTTGCAAGTTTTTTATAGCACTTGCAGGAAAACTTTGTGCTTTGACACAAATTGCAAATTACAAAATCTGGAGTATGTGAAAAAGTTGGATCCTGTATTATCCAACTTTTTTTTAATATATATATATTTATATATGTATACACACAGAGGTACCATGCACTTCTCCATAATGTGTGTATATCAGGAAATCTGTAGTTGCTCTTTAATCTTGTCAACATAATTGCGTGTGCATCTGATGACTCCTTTAAGTTTTTTTTTTTCCTAATGATATGTCTATTTTTAATTTTCAGATTTAATTCAATTAGAAGAACACATGGCTGGCAAATAGTAAGTATGATACTTTCCGCTGTGCTAAACTGCGCTTAGTGGTAGTTTGGCAGTGCTGTGAATGGGAGAATTCTGTCCTTCCTTTCATTGAATTTCTCTAACTGTTTCTTTCTGTCTGTCTAAACTCACCTTACTAATGTAGGGATGAAATCATTGCTCTTCTGGAAGACCTTCCATTCCATTTCACCAGGACTTCCCACCTGAGTCTGTATGTCTTGGATATTATTAATATCTCAGGCAGTTGTGTTTTTGCTCAGAAAAGAAGTCATTACAAGGACAATGTCTGTTTGTTTTTTCCCTTTCTTTGAAATAGTTTACAACCTTTTGCTTTGCCTTTCCAGGTATGAGTGTGTGACGTTAACTGGTTGTGATGTTCTTATACCTGAGCTAGCAGTCTCTGGAGGTAGTCATGGGTGCAGAACACGTTGTTGCCTTGACATTGTGTGGTTCGGTACTGTGTCATGACACGGTAATATGTTTCTAGGTCCAAATTAAAATCCCACGGTGAAAGGATGTGCACGCTTAGGTCGGGGGTGTTGGCACTAGTGTAAACACGTGAAGCCATTCTTTATGGAGTTGAGTCGGCGCATGCATTGTAGCACTTTGGTCTTCATATCAGCCACCCAACAACACGGGTTGTTCCCTGCCTGCTTTGCTTTGGTGGTTCATGTGCTGAATTCTTTTCACTCGTGTGACAGATTGTATTCTGCCCTCTGGTCCCTCAGAGTAAAAAATGCCCTGGATACTTGCAAACGCACCGATTCTGTTCTGTTTGGTCTGCTTTTCTGTGTGCAATAAACAGTCTTTTGTACTAATTTTCAAATGTCTCTGTTGATTTCTAGTTCCAGCAGCTTTTGTCATCGTACTTTACAAATCTCGCCTCTTCCTGTTACCATCTGCTCAATCAGGTCTGGCTACTTTTCACTGTGTTTCTTTCGTTTCCTGTGTTGTACTGGCAGTGCTGTGCAAAAAGCTTATAATTCCTTTCCTGTCTTTTTCTAACTTAACAGGTTCAGCTATCATCTCTTCTACACTCACGCATATTACTTGTTCCTTTGTGCATTTTGCGAGTGTCTGATATGCTACCCGTGAAAAACTGTTGTGGATTCACCTGTTTTACAAAGCTTTGTTTTGTTTTGCTGTAGCCTCTGAACAAATATCAGATGGTAGCAAATTTATTTCACTGTTGCCGTACAAAAGAGATGTAATTAGTGACTTGCAGCTTAAGAGACTTTCTAGTCCTTCATACAAGGACTTCATACAGTCGTTACTGTCATGTTTATGATGACTATAAAGCCATTCAAAATGTAAACTCTAACTTTTCCTTACTGGATGAAAATAATAATTGAAATAATAAATGATATTTTTGGCCTTGTTTAATCTAAGAATGCTTAAGCCAATGCAATTTGATAATGCTGTGGGAAGAAATAGTCCTGCCCTTCCCAGTGGCCTCCTTCTTGGTCTTCCCTTTGTGCCACCACATGCATTTGTACAGCTGCATAAGACTGAGGAAATAAACTAGTTGGAGAAAAATAAGCATTTTTCCATTGAGGACATGGTGTGCAAGAAGAGGAGGTTTCAATTTATTTACTTCAAGATTAGCATCTGTAATCTACTGCTAAAATGCCTTTTATATTAGAATGTAGATTATGTGACATTCCCAAATAGTGTGACAAATTTATTTGGGGAAATATTAGAATAAATCTATTCACATAGCTTGTTGCGTGGAAGATACAAAACCCCAAATAAATCTCAAAAACAGACTACTTTTTATTTTTCCTGTTTACTCATGTACCTAGATTAAATGTAATAAAAACAAACATGCCTTGAAGCTCCACGAATTCTTTCTGTCAAGCAAATTGGCTAAACAAATTCCTGAGTAAAGAGCACTGCACAGCAATCTCCAGAATAAAAATTTACGTTGTTGTAAAGCGCTGCTTTAACCCAGCCTATTTAACCATGAAAATTCAAGATGCAGAATTCCAGGTTTTCAACTGGGAGACGTAGTCTCCAGTAGCGCAATAATGCCCGTTTCTATGAAGAATAATGTTTTTCGTTATTTGGTACTGAATTTGCCTGAGAAGATGTCTTACAAGTGGTAGCCAGCTCTTATCTTAGCATGTGAACCGTAACTAGAATGTAACTTGGCCTGGTTGTTAGAAAATGTCACTATAACTCTGTACGGCTATTTAATCTTTCTTCTCTCTCCTAGATTGTTCTAAGGCCTGAAGAGTTGACTGGAAACAACACCAGGGTGGAGGTTACAACACACTGTGGTAAGTATGCTATTTTAAAACATAGAGGAGAGAAGCTGGGGAAGGAGCCGATATGGAATCATGAATCCCGGAGTGAATCACTCCGTGATGAATTGTCTGCAGCTTTGTGTGGGAAGATTAAAGCGCTGAGAATCTTAAGAGAGGAGAAAGCAGTAGCTGGTAGCATGTTCTTGCTCACGGTGGAGGAAAGGAATATGCATGCAGAGTATGAGGACAGGTACTTGATGCTTCACATTTTTATAAAGCTGTAAAACACACTAATCCATTCATCATCACCCTGTGGTTGCTAATTGTAGTGTTATTTTCATTACTGCTCAAGTGGAAAACTGGGGAGAAATATCATGCTTTCCATTAATAACATACAGGTTTAGTGATGAAGTCAAAACTAGAAGTTGGCATCCTTGACACCTTTTACTAACTAACTTCATTAGTTTGTAAGAATGTAATAGTAGTAAGAGTTTATGATTGCAAAAAGGAAAGATTTTAGTCTCATTGCACATTATATCATACTACGATAGAATTAATCCAAAGTATTTCCGATGAGGTTATTTTTTTTTTTTTCCACCTAAAGTGGCTTTCTAGAAGATGACCATAGAGGATCTCCCAGAACCTTCCTTAGAAGGAGATTCCCTCATTGAAAGAGAACGGTTCTTATTCCCAAACTCTGAAACATCTGTTACTTTTTCTGTTGCTGCAGCACCAATGCCTTCAGACTGCGGTATGTACTTTTAACAGAAAATGAATTTGTGATCGGCAGAGAATAAATTTGAATAATAAATGTTAAGAAAAGCTATCAACTCTTAATTTATTCCTTCTTTTCAGAAAGAGTTTACTGCTTGTTAAATTAATGCTCTATTATTTTATTATTATTTTTTAAAGGAAATGAAAGATGAAGACCCATGCTTTTTCTATTTTTCTTATTGCATACGTTTTAAATTATAGTATCTTTTCCTTTTTACTGTTTCTTCTGTGTGTGTGTGGTCAGATGTTTGTAGGCTTTTTGCATCTCAGTGCAGAGCTGGATATTGTGTTAAGATGTAAGATTGCAGTAATTAAATGTAGTTAAGTATCTACATCACATTTAAAACCTCTAGAGTTACACTTTTTCTTGTGCTTTCAGTATGTAAACAATAGACTATAGGGGATATTTCTGTTGGAAGTGTAGATGTTTGGTGGTAAGGACTGTGAAATGAGTGTTAGAAAATTATAGGAAGTATTGGTGATCAGCTTTTGAAATAATGTTGAATTGTCTTCATATATATATCATAATAATATTTTAAACAGGATATATAATATATCAAAATGTCACTGTAGGTAAGGATCTTCATAGATAGCTCCAATTATATAATGCCTTTGAATATTGCAGAAGATGTTAATAGCATCTATATACCTTAAAAATTACTGCCTCCACCTCTGTTTTTCACATGCATTGATTCCAGCAATCAGCTGTATTCAGGAAAAATAAATACATGTAATTTTCTGTCTTTGACAGACTTGGCATTCTTGAGACCCATTTGATAAGTTAGCACAGGTTGGAAATTTACCAGTTCCAAATGATATCATAGAATCATAGAATCGTCAAGGTTGGAAAAGACCCTTAAGATCATCGAGTCCAACCGTTAACCTATCACTGCCAAGTCCATCTATACCATGTCCTCGAGCACCACATCTATCCGTTCCTTAAATACCTCCAGGGATGGGGACTCAACCACTTCCCTGGGCAGCCTGTTCCAATGCTTGACCACCCTTTCGGTGAAGAAGTTTTTCCTAATGTCTAACCTAAACCTCCCCTGGCGCAGCTTGAGGCCGTTTCCTTTCGTCCTATCACTCGTTACTAGGGAGAAGAGACTGACCCCCACCTCGCTACAGCCTCATTTCAGGTAGTTGTAGAGAGCAATAAGGTCTCCCCTCAGCCTCCTCTTCTCCAGGCTAAACAACCCCAGCTCCCTCAGCCGCTCCTCCTAAGCCTTGTGCTCCAGACCCTTCCCCAGCTTCGTTGCCCTTCTCTGGCCATGCTCCAGCACCTCCATGTCCTTCTTGTAGTGAGGGGCCCAAAGTATGTTTTAGTACATGAACATGTGTCTTTACATGGTTTAGCCCTGTTCTCATAACTTGTCCGTCCTATTTTACTCGAAGTATTGCCATGATTTATTCCATGCTGCTTTCTTATCCCTTAGAAAAATTTTCTATTCATCCTTCTTTAAACATTGTTGTGTTGTGATATCTTCTAATACAATATCACTACTGTCTGTCCTACTTGGTCTATGCCTACTCACTGAAGAAAAAAAATGCCTTTTATAGGAGGTCGCTGTCACCTGTGTAACAGTAATATTACTGAATCTAGGTAAAGAAGGTTAAACCACAACAGACAAAGATTCTTGGGCATTACATTAAGTGCGTTTAGTTTTCCTTAGTACCGTTGAGCACAGTAATCAATGCATGGGAAAGACAGAGGTGGAGAAAGTAATGTTTTAAAGTATCTAGATGCCATTGTCATCCTTTCATGGAACTTTTTGTTTTAACAGATTTTCTGTAACATTTCTTTGGTTTGCAAACACTACAGCTAATCACCTGTTAAGCACTTACGATGGTTGTTATTAATGCTTGATATATTCTCAGGTTTTTACCCTACCGCAACAGTCTATTAGGGTTGATTTCTGATATATAATTTGGTTCACGTTCATAGCTAGAAATCTTCCTGGTAGAGTAAGAACCATGCATGTTGTGTAAGATCATTAATCTTCTTGGCTGGTTGTCTGTTTACTTCATAGCTTTCAGCAATAGAGCAACTGTGGTTTATGCGGAAGTTAAATGTTAGCAGATAAATCAGTAGATCTGTGTCAATGGACGTAGGTAAGAAGCACACTTTGTGTAGTGCTGGGAGATACGGGGTTTGCCTTTTTTTATATGCTAGGTGCAAATAAAAATTCATAAATATCAGTGAAGTTGTCCTTCTTTTTCATTCCTGTTGAATGAAAAACTCTAGATAGCCAGGAAGCAAGCTCCATATGTGCTTTTATCTGTTAATCCAATCTAGAAGCGTGGTGTGCTCTTTTTGAGGAAAGGTTATGATGATTCATCCAGAGGTAGTTTATACCATGTCATACACCAAGATGGCTGATGCTGTATTTTACTTAACCTGTATGTCCGTTCTGAGAGCCTTCTATCTGTGATTGATGTCAGCTGACATTGCACATTTATTTGAAACCTTTTTAAAAGGCAGCTCCCCGATAGCTGCAGCAGGGGGTAAAAGTTCAGTGTGTTCCACGATTCAGTCATGTGCTGATGACAGTAGGTTATGCTTCCATTCCCTCACCTAATAGCCATTGCTATCCAGATTCTTTCATATAATTTTCTGGAGTTGGAAGAAATTCCACAAATTCAAAATACAGTATGTGTATATACATGCATACACATACACCTGTAAGTAACATGAAATATCATACTTTAATAATAAGGTGGTTTTTACACCTATACTTTGGGTTGCCTGAAGCAACATAAGGCATAAAATCTTAAAAAATATATCTTTTTTCTGATCTTGGCTTGGTGGTTTAATTTTTAAAGATGTAGCTGCCACCAGCTGGGATTGATACATTCATGAAATATCTGAAAATAGCAGAGGCCATAGAATGCCTTCCTGATTTGTGCATGTGTTTATATTTTGGTATGTTTTATGTAAATTGTGATGGAAGAATAAGGAAAAGCCATGTTTTGTAGCATATGGAGACATCATGTATGTGTTTAATCACTGAGAGATCAAGAGGCATGTCTGTGCTTGCAAACAGCTTAGAATCAGCAGTCTTTGGCTAGCTTGAAGCAAGAGTAAACCCTTAATAGCATAATCACTGCACATGTCTCTTAGTCCTTGCCTAACCTTAAAACCAGTCTTGCAGTACCGTTGTATTGGTTGCTGATTCAAAGCTTTTTCAGAAGTATAACTGAGGCCTTAGTATTAAAGGAAAAATAGACCAGATTTTACAGAAAATTTTCTAAATTAATTCAACATTCTGGTTTTCCAGTGTGATTAGTAGTGAAGTGACTCTCTCTGCTATTGTTTGCCTCCGAGTTTGAAAAACTAGATGCCTGTTAAAACTTACAATTTTACCTTAACGATTCCTTTTTTTTTTTAACAGAGTTCTCCTTCTTCGATCCCAATGACATGGCATGCCAAGAAATACTTTTCAACCCCAAAACATCAGTTTCTGAATTGTTTGCTATCTTAAGGCAGTGGGTTCCACAGGTCCAGCAGAATATTGATATTATTGGGAATGAGGTGAGGTATAAATGACGATCCTTGAATGCTTTCAGTGTTAAAGAAATACTATGTTGACAACGAATAAAAACAGTTCATTCAGAAGCAGACCTAACCATGAACGCAGATACAGTTCCTGCCTTTTAACAAGTAGTTACTGATCAATGCCTTGTATTCCACATGTTGTCAGCTCTCATTTGGAAAGACGAAGATGAGGGATAAAAATTCAGTACCTTTGGCTAGATGGCAGAAACAATGTTTCTTCTCAAAGCAGTGAATTAGAGACCCTTCACCTTGGTGTTTCAGTTTCCTACTTAGCAGTGATCATAAACTCCAATATATGAAGTTAGAGTGAAGCCTGACCTTGAGGGCAATGTTTGCAAGGCACAGGATGAGTTAGGAACTGAAATCTTTTTGCAGCCTGCAATAGGCTGCTTTCAGAAGACACCTTGTTTCTAGTAATTCTATCCTACTTTCTTATTTTTCTTCTTCTGGATTACAGGCTTTTCTAGATAGGTGGGAAAGTATAGTAAAGATTCTTCCTACCGTAATATAACTGGGGCTTTTTTTGGAGGGGGAGAGGGGGGATTGTTGAGAGATCAAAGAACAAGGGGAGAGACTTCCTAAATGATGTCATTTTCCTGTTGTTCAGTTAAGCAGTTAACTTCTCAGCACGTGACATATATGCTAGAAGTAATAATATAAAGAAGCTTTAAAATCTGTAAACAATGTAGTTAATGATATTCATATAATACTATTTATTACATTTGTGCATGTTGCTCAGTTCTGCAGTTACAGTCTGTTTTGGTAGGCTTCTTTGTTATTAGCCATTGAAATGAATCCAGGAGTCAATATATGTGAAATAACTTACTAATTAATACTGATGTCAGAGATATGCCAGAGCTAAAATATGCTTGTTTTCCACTTCTCTCTCAGATCATTAAAAGGGGTTGCAATGTGAATGACAGAGATGGACTGACTGATATGACTCTCTTGCATTACACTTGCAAATCAGGGGCTCATGGTATTGGTGAGTAAAGAAACATCATTATAGATGTAAAAACCTAATTAATTCACAAAGGCTAATCCCGCCAGCTATTACAGAATTTTTCCTTGCAGTAGATTTATTTTTAGTGCTTGGTTTTGGCTCTTCTCGTGGCCATCAGAAAGGAAGATACAGAACTGTAGTGCAGTTATGGCTGTGGCAGTTGGGAGTAAGTTGAGTTGGTGGTATAGGTGTTGCAAAAAATAGTACCAGCTTAAACGTATATTTAATGGAGCAAAGGCTGTTTCAGACTGAGATACAAACTGCGAACTAAGCTATTGACAGTTTTCTTACATCAGTGAAACTAGAACATTTAGGTGATTGGCTGTTCTTTTTTCTTTCACCCTGATCATGTCAGAGGAAAACAATAGTCTTCGCATTATGATGATCAGAAGTACTGGAAATAAGAGCATATTTAACTCTGAATACCCCTGTTAGCTTTTCTATGTTGTACTGCTTTTTTGTTGACCCAAACCTGGTTCTCCTCTGAGTTCGAACTAAGTTTCTGAGTGAGGCCTGGCGTAGGTTAGCTTTTCTGGTGTTGGCGGATCTTTTAGCATAAACTTCAGCATTGTGGCATGTGATTTTTTTTTTTTTTTTCTTCTATCAGATACTAAAATCCCTGGTTTTGAGGGGTGACACGTTATTTACAGTAGAGATAAACAGGTAGTGTTATTATATACTGTAGTAGAGATTTCAGCCCTTTGTGAAAAAAGGCAAAGATTTCTGCATCCTAATCCTAAAAAGAAAGGTATAATAATTGTTCTGCTGTGAGCTTTAAGGGTTTAACGTACGTTATGCGTTACACGTAAGCATGTGCATGTTTTTTGAGGTCAAATAAATCTCTAATGCATATTTTATAAAATTTACCTTGCAGGTGATGTTGAAACTGCTGTAAAATTTGCGACACAGCTTATTGATTTGGGTGCTGATAGCAGTTTACGCAGCCGCTGGACAAATATGAATGCCTTGCATTATGCTGCCTACTTTGATGTTCCAGAACTTATTAGTGTTATTTTGAAAAATGCAAAGCCGAAAGGTAGGCATTGTTACTTTTGTTTCATGTAGTTGTCCGTATTTTGTTACTCTGTTGACCCTAAGCTGGTGTGTAGTGGTCTTTAAGTGTGGGGTTTGTTTATCCATGATACATAAATAATTTCTAATTTCTTCTTTTAGTCAGCCTCATTGGTTCATTTTCCTCTTAACCTATTTTTTTGTGGTTTAACGCACTGATTCCATTGCTGGTTTTCAAACTTGAGCTTTGTACAAGATGGTAGAGAAGTATCTAATAGAGAGGAAAGCAAACCGGTTAATTCTAAGTTGTTGAAGACTAAGAGAATGTATGCAGAAAACCAAAGATGTAACTATTCTGGTAAATTCTTAGAGTTTTTAAGATTCCTTGAACATTGAGAAGTATGTTTGAAATGCTGGGAGAAGAGTAAAGGAGAAATGGGGATTTGGCAGCATCATGTGGCAAACTAGTGACTGAAGCAACTTTGACATGCTCATTTTTCCCACTTCTCAGCTATCTAGAAGGTCACGTGTAAGGAACTTTAGTGTTTGGCATAAATAGATAATACCTTTTGGAATGACAGTATGAAGGACTGGTAATTGGAGCCCTATTTATACTAATGCAAATGAAAATACAGAAATGATTCTGAACCAGAACCATTTGTTCCTAATTTGGTCAGGATATCAAAACCAGTAAGCAATTTTAATACTAAAATTGTACAAATGTTAATTTGTTCTACTGAATATCCTTCTGATTGTGCCATTTTGCAAAATGATTAATACCCTTTTTTAGCTAGTTGTCGCTAAAGACTCTGTCTCAAAATTCTGAAAAGCTGATAGGTTTTTGGAGTACACAAGGCTTGCTTACCACCTCTTGAATCACGTGGAGGTGATTGTCAAACAGCGCTGTTATTGGTATGACATGCTTAAGAGGTAACAAGTGTAGGTTGGTAACAAAAGGCAAAATAAGACTGCACAGTAGTTAAGTCCACATCACATTTCAATAGTCCGGTCTCCCTAACTTGCATCAGCAGACTAGGTCTTCTTTCAGACCTCATTTGCATTTGGTGTTCTCATTTCCTCCTGTGCAGTGCCTACAGAAGGGGAGGGAATTTGCTCAGATTTCCAAGGAAACCATTCTGGTTAAGTGCCTTGGCAGTTGGCAACTCTTGGATAAGCAGATGATTTTTTTTAATCTCGGAAAATGTATAAAATGATTTGCCCTGTGGCATGAAAACAATGGATGGTCTGAGTTAATAGAAGGAATAATCTTGGCTCCATACTTCATCAAGCAGTTTGCAGAGAAGGGAGGATGTACATAGAAGGCAAATATGCCTTGGATGGATCCATACTGAACTGGGGAAAAAAAAATGGTTGTTAATGTATAAATAACTTCTCAAGACAGTGGTATACTGACTCTGAGACACCCTTTGTGAAACAGCCAGTACCACAGATGTTTCCTCTTGATTTACTGCTAAACTATTTCCTTTATGACACTCTGCAGTTAAATTCTTTATACAGGTTTACTCCTCAATTGTTAGAACAGAGAGCTAGTTTGATCTTAGATTTTTAGAGGTTTTAAATATAAAAATTGTTAAAGGCTTAAAGAATTAGCAATGTTATGTGGTGCCATTAGACAATGACTGTAACCTGCATGGGTTGCTAATGACAGATCATTTCTGCATATTAATTTCCCTTAGATAGTTTGGGGGTAGTTACTGGGTAACATTTGATATATATGTTTCTTTTTGTTGCCTGTACTATGCCAACTTATACCTAGAACAAAGCTGTAAGAAAACAGTGTTTAAAAACTCCAGGCATGAAGCTTGGAAGTCTGAGGAAGTCACACTAGTCTAATTGAAACAAAAAAAATCTACACGTCAGTTCCTTTTTAAAATAGGAGTACATGCAACTGTTGCTGACTCAGTAGCTGACATTACTGATCAGCATTTCTGCAAACTCGTTCCTGTGTGTGCAGAAAATACTTGATAGCCTTATGAAACGTGGAAGTTTCAAAGGTTGTATACAACTACACAGCTTCTATTCAGTTTTAAACTGGTAATGGTCTTTTGGCATTTGATATATAGAAGGTACATCTGCATACGTAGCTGTCATTCTGATTGCATCATGTGAATGCAGTCTTTTTTCATGAGTGTGCCAATTAAATTTAAAATAGCTAAGTTTGTATTCATATTAGTGCGATTGTAAAACTGTTAAAATTTGATCCGAAATGTGTTATCTTTGATCGTTATAAAATTCAGAGTCAATCTTTATTAGTATGTATAAAGTTGACATATCTATACAGACATATATATTTATATATCTTCTATATATGTTGATGTTTTATTTGCCCCCCAAATATTAATTTAGTATAACTATATAAGGATGTTGATACAGTTGGGATACACTTTGTTTATCACATTGTGAGAAGGGCTAGTGGTTTTTGGGACAGACTGATACTGGGAAATACTAGGAGACTGTACAGCCCTGAGGTGGAAAGTTTTATGTTCCTCACCAGTATTTCAAATTGGAACATTATTGCTAATACTTGTTGGCTTTTGGTTTGTGTATTAAATCAGCTGGCATTTTTTATTAACAGTCATATACATAATTGACTCAAACTACACAAGAGAGATGTCAGTTTAGGAGAGGAGCCAAAGACTAAATAGACATTAAAACTCCCATCTTCTATAACAGTAATAACTTCATAGCAGATTGAAAGATATATTGGGAACAATTGATTGAAATACATATTATGCTAAATCTCTTCTAGTCAAATGCAGGGCTCCATTTTCCAGACTATCAGTGCAAGACCCTTCCGAGTGCAATTCTTTGAAAACAAAGAAATTATAAAAATCATTAGCTCTTACTTCATGCTTGGCCGTTAGTAATTAAATCAATGTAAAGCAGAGGTATAATCAGTTTTCCCTTGCCGCACTACCTGCTCACAAAGGAAAACAACTGGTTGAAGATGCATCTCATTTTAACATTTGACACCTAGAAGTAATAAAATATAAATATTTCTGAAACATTAATTTACACGCAAACCTAAACTTACTAACGTGTTAATTGTAGCACAGTAGATTGGGCATCCTGAATAGCAACAATTTTGCAGTTAAGTCATCAATATTATAAAATGAATGAAAGTAAATGCTCATCTTTCAGATTGGTTCATGGTATGAATGAAGAGATGCAGATAAGGTTGATATTCTATGTAGAATTACTTCTCATATGCATTTAGTATGTAAATAATGGTGTCTCTGTATGAATGTTAACATAAACTGTAAAAAGGAATGTCCTCTCGAGGAATCTGTAGGGTGAAATGTTCACGTCAACAGACTTGCGTACCTCACATGTGATGTTTAATTGCAGATGTGGATGCCACCTGTAGTGATTTTGATTTCGGCACAGCTTTGCATATTGCTGCATTTAACCTATGTACAGGAGCTGTCAAGTGTTTACTGGAACATGGAGCAAATCCTGCCTTTAGGGTAAGGAGTTAGGTTGTAGATTCACCCAAAGGTGAAAAAAGCACCTGGAAAAATTGAAGAGTCTGCCTAGGATTTTGATTAGCTGAAAACGTGTTACGTGGAGTGATAACGCCTCAGAAAAAATATTTATAACTCATAGTGGATGATTTTGTATGCTTTGTTATACTTGGCGTTGAAGTTTGTGTTTTTGTGTCACAGTCTAGTTCGTTAGTTCAAATAGCTTTCGAGGTGTTCTTCTAGTTGTTGCTTGAACTTTCATTTGTTAATACTCCTTTGCGTCTTGCAACAGTTGTCATGGCAGTGGTGGATCTTTTCAGAAATACAGGAGTGCATCTGTGACCTCCAGAAATGTGGGGTATTGCTTAGCAGTAAACTTAGCATAAGCAACTGATAATGGAGAAGCATTAACTGCTCTGCTTACTAACCAAATAATAGGCCTCAGTTATAGTGTAAACTGCTGCTCTATGTGTCTAGCCACAAGTCTTGGGTTTTGATTCTTTTTTGTGGGTTTTTTTTTGGTGTGTGTTTTTTTTCAGGGGGTGGTTGTTTTTTTGTTGGTTTTGTTTGTTTGGTTTTTTAGCACAGGCAGTATCTCAGTTCTCCATTTTCAAAATCAGAGTTGTTTTTTTTTTAATGAGAAATTATGATTGTTTAAAGACTACTCAAAAGTCATTATGTACCACTGATGGCGTGAAATCTTCTGGAACATCATTCTTCATACAGTTCTTCATGATGTTCAATCGAGATCTCTTAAAAAACACTGTTTTTCTTCTTTGTCTCGTTATTTAGTGTGCATGTACATGTTTCATATTCTATGGCAGCTGGATGTGTAAGAGTCTGTTGTCACAGGGAATGCTGCTTGGTAGTTGCACGAGCATTCTGAGCTGGCAAAAGGTGGCTCTGCCCTTGAGAAAAGCAGTCCTGTGCCATTGTGCCTCTTTTTGCCTTCTTGCCTCTGCTCTGCTCCCCACCTTGTGTTGACACAAAGATTTGCAGGGCACCCGGTGGGCTGAATTGCCGGACTGATCTGACCGAAACAATAGCTAATGCGATGACTAAAAACTCAAAACAAACTCCCTGCTATATCCTGTTTTTAAGGTACTGTGACTTGAATGAGGCTGACCTTTTACTTACAGACTGACTGTAGATTTTTAAGGAATGGTAGGTGTTTAATTCTTCAGTCCCACAATAAAGTTCTGACCAGAGACAGTGTGTAGAGTTTGCTTATATGAGGACAGCAGAGTGTAAATGCTGAGTAAGGATTATAGTTTTCTAGGGTTGAGACAGGGAGATTTATAGGGGGCTCAAGGAAGGCTCAGCTTTTAGTCTGTTTTTTAAGGAAACAAAGCAAATACAATCTTGCTTTGCATCATTCCCTCTTTGAGCTTCTGGTAATTTCTGAGTCCAGGGGCTCAGCTGAGGCAAATTTGGAAGACTGAGATAATTATGTTTCCATAGACTTTGTGAAAATTACTAATGCCTTTGCTGAAGAAAGCATAGGTAGAACTTGCCATTGTAACAGCCTGACAGCCCAACAGTGTACTCGCTGTCTGGCCAGCTGGCCTTGAGCTAAGGTTAACTCCAGGTGAGCTGGTGCTCCAACAACTCCGGCCTGGGGCGAGCGTCACGTGGGACATACGGGGAATCACAGTCCCTGCTCTCTGGGAATGGGAAGTGTTCGGAAGGGACTCCGTCCTTAATTAATCTCTGATGCAGTAGTCTGTATCTAAATAAATCTGAACAGCTTTATTCAACTATTTATGTGAGACATCAACTTTGTGTACTCTGTGCATGCAATTATATATAATAATTAAATTTCATCTTACCTTTGGAATAAGCCTCGCCAAGGAGTGAACTATACACTGGGTAAAGATAAATTCTTTGGGAAGTATTAGCATTACAGTATTGGTATTACAGACCAGAATTCTTGCTTATTTTTCTAAATCTGTCTTCAAGTACACAGAGATACACAGGTGGGTTTTCCATGTGTTCTGAGTACTAATAATGTTCTTTAGATTAAAAATTTAGATAACTTAGCACTTTTGAAAATAAGTCACTCTAAATGCTAGTTTATATATCTAAGGATGTTTTGGCGTCCTTTGAAAATGTGGATGTTTTTATAGTTGTTTATATTATAGGAAAAGTATCTAATGAACTTCATAAACTGCTATGGTTTTGCCTAATCAGGTTTATCTTGTCACAACATTAAATCCTGTGCTATGTTGTGTTTCTACAGAATGACAAAGGGCAGATTCCAGCGGATGTGGTTCCTGATCCAGTAGATATGCCACTGGAAATGGCAGATGCAGCAGCCAGTGCAAAAGAAATCAAGCAGATATTGCTGGATGCAGTGCCTCTCTCATGTGACATCTCAAAAGCCATGATTCCGAACTATGATCATGTCACAGGCAAGGCCATGCTTTTATCGCTTGGCCTGAAACTGGGAGATCGTGTCGTTATTGCAGGACAGAAGGTATGATGTGCCACCTGATCCCACCCTTCTAATTTTTGGACGGTCAATTTATTTACCCCTTTGGAGTCATACCTCAGATTTGAGGGTCTAAAACATTTTCTGGTAGGTATGAACTCTGGATGGCAGTAAGGATCTGGTTACAGAAAGTAATAAGCTGAACAGTTATGTGTTAAAGAAAGTCATTACTATGAAAAGCTGTTTTGACAGGCACAGTCTGCATTTTGTATCTGTAAACAACTTTTTAACGGTTGCCTATAGTACATCAGCATGGCTCAGCTTTTATTAACATTTTTGGTGTCACATCAAAATGACAGTAAAATTTACAGATTACTTTCTGAGTTGCCCAGCTTTCAGTTATGAGTATGCATTCGTGAATTACCCCTGATAGTTTCCAGAAGGCGGTAAAAGAAAACTTCAATTCTGCTTAGCCTATGGTAACCCAATTTCACTGGTGCAATGCAGCTAAAATCTTTGAAGCAGTGCTGTGCCAATGGATTTGTTACGTGGTTCTGTGGAAGTGTAAGAATGTAGCCGATACTGGTCCAGCTCAAATGTGAATAGCTGTTAAGAAGCTACCTTGCTGGACGCATTTTGAAAAATGTATTTGAAAAATGCAACATTGATACTGCAGTTAGTATTCATACCTTTTATTTGCTCTGATAGCAAGGGCTCTGAAATGATTTAAGAGTGCTAGGACTCTTTTAAAGATTTCAAATATTTTTCTGGTACATATTGAAGGCATTTGTGAGCAAAATTTTATCTTTGAGTAGCTTTACCTTTAATAATTTTTCTAGTATAACTTCAGATTTGTAATTATCACAACTCAAACATTCTAAAGTGAACTCCACTGAGAGTGCAAATCAGCTTCCATTCTGTATTTTCATTGGGTGTGTTCTTGAAATTGGGTCAGGAGAAGTGAAGGAATCACTAGCTATGCAGAAGGCATTTTAACTGAAGTACGGACAGGGAGCCGCCTGTTCTTTAGAGACAGTACGAAGTTCATGGAAGTTTCTTTTACAGAAAGCCATTGCCCAGTAAAAGCAAGGGGCGATAATGTAACTGCAAGTTAATGGAGGTGTTCTAGCAAGAAAGGGAAGAAATTAGTCCTCTCGTGTATCTTTCCTCCAAGTAAGGCCCATAGAACTGTTTGTACTGTAATGTGCTTACCGTGTATGGATAAAGCTTCCTGGGTTTGGTTACTTTTTTTAATTGAACTATTACAGTGGTTTTTAAGAAGCTGGTGGAAGCTGTTTTTCTGCTGCCAAAGGCCAGCAGGGCTTTCCAGCTAGCTTTTTCTAAGGGAGCCAAAGCTGTCATACGGCAGGTGGGAAGGAGGAACGTGATTGTGCTTTTTGGTCTTCCTTTTCCACGTCTGCTTTCCTCCCTTCCTTTCTTTGTGTGTGGGGAGCTGTTCCGCATTGCTCCCACAGGGTTTTCCACCCGCTTTCTCCACTGGTCTGAACGGAGAAGTTGATCTCAGCCCTGTCTTCCCCTCTCCCTTGATACTCGTAAATGTGTGCAGGGTGGAGCAAAAGTGAGAACAGGATGATGAAAATGGTGCCCAGTTCTTCACCTCCTCTTGGATCAGTTCCCATTTCCGGAATATGGGAGCTGGGACGAGGGCACTGGAACAGCAGCATTTTTATGAGCAATGTTTACGGATTCCTCTTCTCTTTCCTGCTTCTGCAGTCTCCTAACATATCAGCTTTAATGAAGCTTGAAAGCCAAGCACAGCAGATGCCAGAGGGAAAATGAATTCCTCTCTTGATTCCTACTGCACCTGTCATTCTAGTTGTCTTACCGGGTAGAACGCTGTGTAAGCAGGTGTTCTTTACGTGGATTGGGGTCCCCCAGCTTCACCAGCTCATGCTCTGCTAGATTATATGTTATCTGAATGGACACTCGATGAAATGTGAGTGCAGGAAAACCAGTAGCTGAAGAAAACTTTTCTCCTGTTCCTGCCGTGTTTCTCACGTGCGAGATTGTCCTTTGCTCCTTGCCTGCACAAGTCCTAGGGCTTGTGCAAAATTGGAGCCTCAGTTTTGCCATCTCCACCTCCAGTTTAAGATGCTGGTCCCTTCCCTCTGCTCAGTAAGTGCCCCTCAGCTGGTGCTTGGAGAGCGGAGGAATCCGTTAGGCTGCTTGGCCAAGCTTCCTCTGGCTGAATTTGATCTCTGGGTTGGTAGCTAAAAAGCCTGGGTCTAGATTAGTGATGTACCTGCCTGTAACAATCCAGTTGAAAGGAGATCTTCAGAGTAAAAGAAGAACAGGCTCTGGGTGACGTGTATTTCTTTACAGAACATTAAGAAAGAGTAGCTGGAAGGTCTTATAGTAAAGAAAAAAAATGGTTTCTGTCTGTTTACTCTCTGAGGGCTGGATTAGCCAGTGAAGTCATAGTAAAAACGAACTAATTGTATTAAGGTCACATAAGATAATGAAAACTGAGCATCTGAAAGATCAAAGTTTTTTCTTGCTGAAACTAATTTAAAAATCAAATCTAAAAATGAATTTAAATCAGTGTTAAGTGCATCTCTTAGTTATTCCTCCCTTGTTTAGTTGAAGTGTGTAAGCTTATAATGTATATTTGTGGAGACTGAGGTCCACCAGCAAGACTGGTTTGTCTTGATATTCTTGACATACTTATCTGTTCAGAGTCCACATAGCATATATTGAAACAGGAAAAAAGTCTTATAGCATTTGCTGGCTTTTAAAATTTTGTTTAATCATAAGGAGGGAATAAAAGACTTATGAATTTTTTCCAAATAAAAAATTAAGTATGCTCTAAAGTTTACCCTTTAAACTTTGAGAGAGAGATATATGTATATAAAAAAAAAGTAATTATAGGTATACATAGTTATACACACACAGATATATTTATAGACTTTTTTAGCTAGGATTTCCATGGAATCTCCAATTCAGCAAGCTATCTACCTATGATTCTGGAACTGTTGGTGTGGAAGACACTGAAAGTAAAACTTCTTGTTAGGCATATACTCCTGTACCTTGCTGACTTGGAGTGGTGCTTACCGTGTAATTCTTGCCTGTTATGAGATCTGTCAATAACCACTGCTTTTGTTTAATACAAAATATACGCAGAAAGGCTAATACATTTTGGAAAATGCATTGGCTGGCATTGAAAGATAGGAATGTCAATAATCAAGGGAGATTGTTATGTCTGTATTTCTCTGTTCTGATCAACAGCTTGGAGATGACTTGCTGTCTCCTTCGTAATCTGTAGTATGTTGTTGTAAACAATACTTGTTTAACAAAGTCATTCTGTGTTGATGCTTTTTGCTGTAGGTTGGTACATTAAGATTTTGTGGCACAACGGAATTTGCCAGTGGCCAGTGGGCTGGCATAGAGCTGGATGAGCCAGAAGGAAAGAACAATGGAAGCGTTGGAAAAGTCCAGTACTTCAAGTGTGCACCGAAACGCGGTATAACCTTTAGTTTTTTCTTACCTTTTTTTTTTTTTAAAACCTGAATTTTAAAAAAAGCATTGGAAGATATGAACCTTTTGGGAGACTAAAAACAGATAACAAATTCTGTTGCTTTTCTTTTTAGTGCTTTGTTTGTTTGGTTTTTTAACTGTTCTTAGTGTTTTGGCTGCAACTATTTGCAAAACCACTGAAACAACCAACCAGTCAAAATGTCTGGCTATTTCTGTGAAACTGTGAGATGATAATCTCTCCTGTTTTTCCATCTATATTGCTGAAGCTATTTGTTTGTGTTGTAACAATAATGGCCATGTTTCTTTACCTGCTTTGCCTTCCTTTTTGAGATTCACGCCTGTAGTTGCTTTCTGACTTCCAGCTTGAGGTATTTTAAGTGATGTTTCGTGGACAGTCACGATATACAAAGTCTTGCATTTTCTAACAGTGGAGACTGAATGTCACCATTAGGACAAAGATTCTTATTGATAGTTCTAGTGACTTACTGAACTGCTCTGTTCAAGTTGCTTGAAAAGCCTTTTGGTTTCATTTGAGCTCGTCCTTCCTACCCTACAAGTGCTTTGACAGCATAGCAAGCCATGATCGTGGCTGAAAAAAACCCCCTAATTTAACTGATGTAAGAGATAGTAGCCAGAAAGGTTTGTTACATTAATATTACTCCTGGTTCTTTTTTGGCACATACAATTTTGTCTCCAGGTATCTTTGCACCTCTTTCTAAAATAAGCAAGGCTTCTGATCACAAAAAAAGCTCCGTACGAAGTTCTTCCATGCGGTCTTCCCCTTTGGTCAAATCCAAGAAAATAGATGTGACGCACATAACTTCCAAGGTGAATTCTGGTGAGTATTTTCTTGTGTGTTGAGACAGAATTGAGATACTAATCTTCAAGAATTAGCACCAATCGTGTAAATCTTGGTATTAAAAGACTTGTTTGGAATTAGTTAATCACTTAGGATGAGAAGGTGATATGTATTAACTACGTGTTCTCATTATTAGAAATTCAGTAGTCTTTAAACTAGTACTGGAAGGACGTTGTGTGTAGTTGCTTAGTGATTATAGTGATCTGATGTACTAATAGAGGTCTTTATATACTCTATTAAAAAAAAAAAAATGTTCGCCACAACATTTATTCTCGAGCCCTTAAAGTAATTTCTGGTTGTCTGTGATATCAGTTAAACGTCTAAACTTAACGTTATTTCATTTACCAAGATCTTCCTGGGTAACTTGAAACATCTCACTGAAATCAGTGAAAATTTAGAAACTAATCTATCAACAACTTTATGTATAGAAATTGAAGAAATTTAATTTATTTTCTGGCAAAACAATCAAGGAACTATTTAACTGATTGTGTTTTATCTGCTCATTAAGTTATCGGAGTAAAACCAGAGGCAAATTAGAAGAGAAAAGATGTCTTTGTAACACGGCCTCGGTCTGCTGATTGGAGTTACAGGCTCAGTCCCTGGCTCTGGCTTAGTCTTCCAGTAATTTATTCAAATTACTTAATCCTTTTGTGTAAGTTCCCTCCTTGTGAAGCAGGAACGATGCATCTTTTCTGTCTGTTTAGGTTCCAAGGTGTTTGGAGTACAGACTTTTCCTTGCTGTGTACAGTGCCCACCATGCATAATCTGCCCCTGTGTCTGGCTGGCTGCATAATAATGTCATTAAATAGATTACATTAACATTTCTTTCGCCTTTCGAACCCTGTTTCGGTGACTCATACTAAGGCAGCACAGCTTAAGAGATGAAAGATACGCATACGTTCTCACAGAATTCACTCTAGCACCCTAAACCACTCCACTCTTTACCAGTAATACGCAGGGTATAGAAACAATGTGCCAGGCTGGTATGCTGCGTTTTGGCAGCGTTTTGGATGATTTACGTAACTCTTCTCTACATAGATTGAGAGGGAAGTAAGCCTTAATGATGTGTATTTACAATTAGCACAAGATTTAAGCTATTTATAAATGGACGTCCTGCATAAAAAGCTGCTCAGAATAATTGGTTTGTTAGGAGTATTGCTCAGGAGCAGATCTAAGCTGACTTTTTATGTTAAATATTTTTCAATGTTTGATTCAGTTCCTTGTGAGCTGTTTTTAACTCATTAAACTACAACGGAAAGGACTGTTTCCTTTGGCACAAATGGTGTGTTCCGGACAGTTTAGTCATAAACCACCTTTTCTGTCATTAAGGTGCCTTTGTATCTTTGTAAATTTTAAACATTTGATACTTGCTTTAGGTAAAAATGAGAGTGAGTTATGCATCATCTGCCCGGCAGAGCTTACATCCACTAACAGTAATCTGGAAGCTGCCGTTTTGTAAGATGTTCTTGCGTTGAAAGGTCCCTTAGAATTAACCTGCCTGGCTGATTCACTGGCTGGAGTGGGAGGATAAAGCTGCAGAGGCAGAACTTTGTTTTGCAGCGTTTACGTGCGTCACCAGATTATGTTTCTTTCCCTTAAACTTCGTTCCTGCAATACACCGGTTTGTAATCAGCCAAGAAAAATTAATGTGCTTTTTGTAAATATGGTTATAAGCTGCAAAGTAAAATATAATACTGTGTAGAGATTTTCAAATTTGATTTGTTTCTACTGGATTTGAATAATCCATCAGATTGATGATAAAAGGTCTTTTTCAAGTTTTTAGAAAAAGGATTACTGTGATCAAATTGAGAAATGTGTTATCAGTCACAAACACTAGTTTTTTGATCTGATGCCTTAATGGCTAAACCAGAAAATTTTGGAAAATACAGTACATTTGCAACCTAGTTCAGTCCCTGTAGCTGAATTAAGGTGAGAGATGTAGTTAAAAAAAAAGATGTGATTTTTCTTTCATGACAGGGAGGGGAGAAATCATAGATAAGCTTGTTCTTCATTGAGTTAGGGTAGGAAACTGTCAGAAATGCAAAATGACTGTTCACAAATTATAACTTATGTGGCAATACTAGTTCATATGCATATCACAACATTGCTGCTCTAAGAGTTAGGCACTTAAAAATCACGTTGGCATACTTCATTATTTGTAGACTGAATGAAGATTTGGTCTCAAATGTCTCTCTCAAAACTTCTGTGTGTAATCTTTAAAGCAGCAATTGTGAAATTAATGCTAGTGAACAGTATACCTTAAGTGCTATAAAAGTGAATGTTGCATATATAATAGATGTAAATGTTTGAAAGATTTAAGTAAAACTCCTTCAATATAAACATCAATATTTTGCAGACAATTTGTTTATTGTTTGGCAAGACGTTTGGACTGTTTTAATGTGTTACGGGGTTTAACATCCGTGCTTATTCATCAAAACAATTCTGCAGTCTTGTTTTACCCATTTATCAAGAGTCTAAGGAACTGTACAGTTTTATCCGTTTTATTCATCCATCCACTAATCTGCAAATCTGTCAAATTGGTTTTGTACGTGACTTTCCTGTAAAATTATTGTTCATTGTTAGGATGTATATATTTAATTGTATATATTCTTTTTATAGGCCTAAATATGGCAAAAAAAGACAGTGCTTCTGAAACCAACTTTGTGGCTGCTAACAGGGGAAAAACTGTACCTGCAAAAGACGGTAACTAATTTATTTTTTATTTTTTAACGTCTTGAGAAAAATTTTGGGTAGGGCAGAGGAAGTGTTATTACTGCCTTACCCCTGTAAAAACCCTGTATTTACACCATAAAAAAAAAGTTGCCTTGCCCGTCTGTATTCAAGTCCCAAGCAGGCTGTACACGTTTAGTTTTCCGAGAGTAATTTGTGTGGCTGTTCGGCTGGCATTCTCTGTTGGTTTGGTAACAGCTTCTATCCAAATACATGGACAAGAATATAGACAAGCCCTTAAAGCTGAAAGCTGTCTCTTCATAAATCTTACAGAGGATCTGCGGAATTACCTTCTTGGGTTTGAGGGGGACCTTTTGCCCTTTATCACTGCTGCTTAGATTTTGATGAAGAACTGTGCATGTATTCTGTTGGAATTCTTATCCTCTCCTCTACCTGTATGTGCAAGCTGGTATAATAAAGTGTTGTCATCGAGCAGCACTTTACAGTCTTGGCGTTGTATCATGGAAGACTCATAATAACAAACTTCAAATACGAAAAATGAAACTCTAGCTTTTTAAAAATTTCCTTTTACATATGAATCATTCTCTGCAATTATCTAGTTTCAGAATTGGATAGTGACTTCTACTGCATCAGTATTTTGTGTGCTGAACTTTAAACATCAAGGGACCTCACTTTCAGGGGTGCCTTTAACAAACTGTAAAAATCGGGTCTCCTTGGAGGTTTTGTCTATAAAATCATACTACAACTGTCAGTAAAAGCAGTATTTCCTTGAAATAATTTGAAGTGTGACTTTGGATATACTCTTTCTGAAGAAAAGCATCTTTTTATATCCTCAGTCAGTGAACGGTTGTGAGGAAGAGACTTGGGGAAGAGACTAGTGTCAGGTATTTAAGCACTGCCCTATATGATACTTTTTCAGAGGTGAGCTAAAAAACTTGTGTAGACAGAGGCTTCCAACATTTTGTTCATGGAGGGCACTTAATGGCTTGTTCTTCAGGTTCTGGTCACACAATGAAATTAATTGGCGGTACAGTGTCTCAGTTTGGTGGATACAGGACGATATCCACAATTAATGGGACTCCAAAGGCTTTGCAGGCTGTAAGTGATGTGGAGTGAGGCCTCATTTTGGGATCTAGTGGTTCAGATGATACTGCCATAAGGCAGGTGCAGAACCTTTAGCAAAATCCAACATCCAACTTAGAAAGTAGCTGTCAGTCGTTCTTTGTCAAAGAGGAAGGCTGCTTCAGCCTGGGGTTTTGTTGGAGTGTGTGCCGAGTCTGGTAATTTGTTTTTTTTTTTTTTTTAATTTTTTTTTTGACACTAGGGATAGAGAGTCTGTTCATGAAATATGCGGATGATGCTTGGCAGATAGTTGACTGGCTTAATATTAAACGCGCCCCCCCCCCCCCAAAAAAAAAAAAAAAAAACCCAAAAAAAAACACAAA